ACCACTGAGGTATGACGATTGAGTATGAATATCAGGAACTGAACGTGAAAACGTCCAAGATTCCGCGCTCTCAACGCCGCTCTAACCTCACATAGCGACTTCGACATCATGTACATGACAGGTTGCCGTAAGTCCCCGCAAAGCTTCTTCGCAAGCGATGGGGCAGCCATGGGAACCGTTCACACTCGGCTTGTTCGACGTGAACACGTCATACACATGTGTGTTGGAGTGTCGGGTGAAACTCAAGACAGCACAGTTAACGAGGTACCTGTATCCAAGGGTACACACAATGGTCCCTAGAGGGCCCTCTTGTGGTCTGTGTTCCGTAAGGACGAAAGTGGATTGAGTGGAAGCTTGGCATTGACTAAGTGAGTTAGACCTCAAAAGTGGTAACGATTTCAAGTAGCAAGAGGGCCGAGAGATGTAGCTAGCCTACGTCTCAGAGCTCAGTTACACTTCAGGGTCGGATGAGCTGTAATCGCGCAGTCTCAGAAACTTCTACGAGAAGTGCGGCCCATGGAGGTAACCGCCGTGGCTGGTCCAAAGCCCAGCTGTGAAAGGAGGATGGTTGGATGTCGGGTTGGCACCCCTGCATCTGTAAAACGAATCTCGCTACGACAAATCGAAACAGAGAAAATGGTCCCCTATTCCCCTTCTCTGGTCCCCAGGACCAGGTTGGGCCCCCGCGCTCTCTTCAGGGCGCTTTTTTTAATTTTTCTTTTTCTTTTTCTAATAATTCCAGGTCAGGTTCTCAAGTGCTGGAAAGACCCGGAGTCCCCAGCCAAGAGGCCGATCCCTGGTCAGAGCAAGATTTTATTTCCAGGAGCGGTTCTACAAGGCTGAACGAGCCTAGCGCTCAAAGCCAAGAACTCTATCGGAGTAAGACCGTAGCCTGGTCAACGCAAGAATTGGAAAAATTGGCGAACCTGGCCGAAAGGCACAGGACAGCCAAGGGTCGCGTGCAGTGGGCCGTTTTGGAGCGAGAGTTCTCTTCAAGTGCCACGCACGACGACCCAATAAGAACGGCGGAGTCCCTTCGAGCCGCTTATCGGAGGTTTTTTAAGACCTCCACCAGAACATCTGGGGTGAGTACTCAACGTGCAGAAGTGCACAGCATGGAACGCGCTGAGGAAAACCCCAACGATCTCAGCTCGGAGGACCGTCGACCAGGCAGAGTGTCTACAGGGCAAATGAATATCAACCATGCCTACGACTCAGCAATGAGCGATGGCGTAACTACGGCCCAACAGACACTCATCGCCTCCACCAGTGGTGCTATAGAAACAGCGAGTGCGAACAGCGCTCACGTAACAGAGCTTCCCCCGAGGAAGCGCACCGCCTGGACCGAGAGCGAGCTTGGTAAACTGGCGAACCTGGTCGAGAGACACAGGACAGCCGACGGGGGAGTGCAGTGGGCTGAACTGGGCTCTGCCTGGGAAAGCTCACGACGCACACAAGACCCCAAAAGAACGGTGTCAGCTCTGAAAGCTGCCTATGCGAAACTGTCTAAGAAAACTAGGCAGACTGACCATAGTGCAGCCTCTGATGGATTAGCTGATCTTAGAACTTCGAGCATCCCAAGCTGTCCACAAGTGGGCAGTCCAAGGGAAGCTCACGCGAGTCAGCAAAATGAGGACCCCGCAGGCGGGGTTTCTCGACTACAATTCATCAGCGATGGTAGGAGCTCACCGACTCAGGGAACTAGAAGTCCATTAGGCTTGAGAATAATATCTAGTCGAGGAGACCGCCCCCAGGGAGGCGGAACTACCGAGACTCCCGAATCTCAGCCAATTGAAACGCTCCCTCAGCGGAAGCGAAATGTTTGGACTGAAAGTGAACTGGGTAAACTGGCGAACCTGGTCGAGAGACACAGGACAGCCAACGGGAGTGTGCAATGGGCTGAACTGGGCTCTGCCTGGGAAAGCCTCAGAAGCACACAAGAACCCAAAAGAACGGTGTCGGCTCTGAAAGCTGCATATGCAAAACTGTCTAAGAGAATTAGGCAGGTTGACCATAGTGCAGACTCTGATGGGTTAGCTGACCTTAGAATACCGAGCTCCCAAAGCTGTTCGCAAGCGGACAGTCAAATGGGGGCTCACGTGAGTCAACAAGAAGAGGAACTCGGAAACGTGTTTTCTCTTCGACAATCCATCAGCGACGATAGGAGCCCACCGGCCCAGCTAGCTAGAAGTCCATCAGACTTGAGAACAACGCCTAGTCGAGGAGACCGCCCCCAGGGAGGCGGAACTACCGGGACTCTCGAATCTCAGTCTATTGAAACGCTCCCCCAGAGGAAGCGAAATCTTTGGACTGAAAGTGAACTGGGTAGACTGCCGAACCTGGTAGAGAGGCACAGGACAGCCAAGGGGGGTGTGCAATGGACTGAACTGGGCTCTGCCTGGGAAAGCTCGCGAAGCACACAAGACCCCAAAAGAACTGTTAAAGCACTACAAGCTGCTTATGCGAAGCTCGCCAAGCGGGCTGAAAGCATAGCAGTTTCTGAAGGCCTAGCTGTGCTTAGAACATCGAGCCGTAATAGTTGCCCCCAACAAGGCAGCCAAAATACGGTTTTCGAGAGCCAGCCTGACGTAGGGGGAGAAAACCCCGGTCACCAGGTCTCCGGAGAAGTAGCAAGCTTACAGTATAACACAGAATCGTCAGAGGGAACGACTGAAATAGAAAATCAGAGTCCTGAAGGCAACTCGCAAGAGTTGTCTCTCGGTAGGACTCACGAACCTCAGTGAAACGACGATTCAGTAGCAGTGGAAAGTCGAACTCGCTCCCGCAGACGAACCAGAATAGCATCTAGGCGTCGCAGAGATGCTGTTGAACTAGACCATCTGAGCTCAGATGATGCTTTGCTCACGCAAAACGCGACTGAAGCTCCCGAGATTCAACAGGAAGGGGAAGCGATTTCACCGATTCCCCGTCAACAATCTCTGCAGAGCCGACGCTCACCTATAAGGGAAAACGGGGATGACTCCCAGAACCGTAGGGTGCAGCGTACTAAAGATGTCATCTGGACAACAAATGAGCTAGCAAAACTAGCGTATATGGTCGAAAGACACCGAGACCCGGACGGTCGTATCCGATGGGCGGATCTCAGAAATAGCTGGGACTGCTCGCGGATGGAGAACGATCCTAGAAGAACTCTCAGTGCTCTCAAGGCCGCGTACGCAAAAATCGCTAGACTCACAGATCGAAATGAAGCTCCTCGCTCGGAG